AAACAGTCAGCAGGCTCGCGCTTTGAGTTAGCGCAGGGAAACGATACGTCAGCTCAGCTCGCGTTTGCTGTGTCGTGTGCGCATTCTCAGTTCGCCATCTGGATTTTGTAGAACTAACGGGTCGAGGTTGGACGGACACATACAAGGGCCTTAGATCGACTCTCGGATCCTGATCTATCCACTTCGTTCTCATGTGCGTTGTATTCTTGCATGCGAATGCAATCCATATGTATTCATCTATCGTTCCCTCGTATTGTGTTCATGTACCAGCCACCTCTTTTTGTCCTTTTCTCAACATGTCCTTATTATACTCATCTTCTAATCCTAGACTCTTCCTTTACAAAGCGATAGCAAAACCCACGGCTACAACCGCAGTGCTAATCGCCGTCCACAATGTCCTGCCACCAATCATGGCGCCACTCGCGTCACCCGAAGCAGGGCCGCTCGAGCCCTCGCCATCTCCCGTTGGGCTCGGCCTCGGGGGTGGGAAGCTTGTGTTGGACGGCACGTCGGTAAGGTTCTGCACGGTAATCCAGGTCGCTGCAAGAGCCGTCGTCAGGTTCGCGTCGGCCGCAAACTTGCTGACGTTGAAGCCCACTCGGTTGTCCGCCAAGTCCGCGTACATGGAGGGTATGCTGAAGTTGCGCGGTTGCTGCATGAGGATGAATGTGTAGCTGTGGGGGCTGTCACCCACTGGAGGTGAGGGCTGGAGGTATGGGACGGGGTTGTCCGACGGAATGTCGAGGGCTGAGCCAGTTGTGTTCGCGGAGATGGGAACAGAGCGTGTGACGTTGGTAGCGATCCAGTGGACTAATTGGACGCGCGAGTTGTTACGGGGCACGTCGAGGTCGACCATGAGGAGGACGCATTGGCCGGGGCCTCGCTCGTCGGAAAACCATACTGGCGACGAGACGGTTGGGGCTGCTGCGGTTTCTGGTGGTGATGAGTGTTAGTTGGTGTGTAGCAGTACTCGGCTCGACTGCGCCGCGACGACAGTGGATAAAACGTACCGGGACGAGGAATGCGCTCTCCGCCGGGCGACACGGTATTGTTGCCGTACGTCACGGTCAAGTTCTGAGTGACGTCGATGGGAAAGCCAGGCGCTGATCCCGCTGTCGCAACACGTGCGAGTAGCGCAGTCGCGCTGAGGACGGTCTTGGTGAACATGGTCGGTGTCTTGGCTGGTGTTGTAGTCGGCGTTGTTGTGGAGCGGGTCGTACTGTTGTGATGCAGTTGGTGCTTGATGGTCGAAAAGCAACGGGCGCAAGCAGCTTCTTTAGTATTTTGGCTGAACCTGCGTCGGCTGCGGGAGCGTAGGGCTTGATGCGCAGCTAAAGGCCTATTTCCGTGTAGCCGGCGTGACAGCAGAGGTTCATGACGTTTACCAAGACTCGGTCCCTTGCTCGGGGTATCGCACGGCCAGCGGACGGCATCCCGGCACAGCTCAAGAAAAGGCTGGGGCTGGCCGCCTGAGGGGCCTTGTTCATGCCGCAGCCAGAATTATTCCAAGCATTGCGCTGGTCGCCTCGGCCTCAGGAACATCGTCAATCGTATTTACCATGTTGTCCGCGAGTGTATGTAAGCACGCGTCGTTATTTGGTTGCGGTTGCGACGCATGCTCGCCTAGTTGGGGCCCAGGAGACGGGAGCCGGCTGAACATCCAGCTATTCAGGCCGCCCTCATCGCACGATGCCTGCAATTAAGCCACGCATGAATCAAGTATGCCTGAGATTTGTCTATGCTCTATGGTTTCGAGACCTTGCATCCTCATATGGACTTATCGGCGACAGCCCTATCACCTCTCGCTCGGGATGCAGACGTTGTGTCCGCACAAGCGCAATGGTATCAGAAGCCGCGCCTCATCACCATCCTCCAGGGCTATTATAAGGTGATCATGTGGTCTCGCGCAGGGCCGACACCGATCCATTTGACCTTAACTCCGACGAACTTCTCAATGTACTCAATGTAACTCCTCGCTTGGCTGGGCAGGTCGTAGTAGCTTGTCACGCCAGTCGTCGGCTTCTTCCAACCTGGCAGTGTATCGTATTGTACTTCGACTTGGGCAAGGATCTCGGGGTTCGCGGGGAAGCCTTCAAGCACCTCGCCCTTGTACGAGTAGGATGTCGCAACCTTGAGCTCGTCAAAGTCATCCAGAACGTCGAGCTTGGTGAGGTTGATGGCGGTGTAGTCGTTGCACGCGTGTGAGTGCTTGACAACGACCAGGTCGAGCCAGCCGCAGCGGCGCTTGCGACCGGTTGTAACGCCGACTTCATGGCCCACTGATTGAAGCTTCTCGCCCACCTCGTTGAGCTGCTCGGTAGGGAAGGGTCCGCTACTACTTGTTAGCCTCTGAATTTATCTTTCGGTGCGATGCAACTCACGATCCGACACGGGTAGTGTATGCCTTGACCACGCCAATGACCTCCTTCAGTGACCGCCATCCCAAGTTGAGACCTGTGATGACACCTCCAAGACCAGTGTTTGACGATGTGACGAAGGGGTATGTGCCGTAGTCGATGTCCAGCATCAGCGCGTTCGCACCCTCGACGAGGATTTTGGCGTTCTTCTCCTTTGCCGATGCGAGGAGCGGGATCTGGTCGACGACGTAGGGAGCAAGCTTCTCGCGCAGAGTCTTTGGCATTGTCAGTCTTTGTTCCGTATATTCCAACCCCATTGTGACTCACCTTGTACTTCGTAATCTCCTCTTCCACATCGTACTTGAGTAGATCACCGTATCGCTTCTGGAACGAGTTGGCTAACCTCCTGAGCTTCGTCTCGAAGATCTGCTCGTCGAAGAGGTCGCACATGCGGAGGCCGCTCCTGGTCATCTTGGTGCTGTAGGTTGGGCCGATACCCTTCTTGGTCGTGCCTGCATCCCGCCATCAGCACGTCAGTCCCGCAGCAGGCGCGTGTGCTCCTCACCAATCATGCCACCACCCAATTCCACCTCCTCCAGGCCATCCACCATCTGGTGCACATCAAACACGACATGGGCGCGGTCCGAGATGAATATTCTTCCGTCCGTCTTCAATCCGTGTTTCTCCAGCGCTTCCAGCTCCTTGAAGAAACTGGGTACGTGAACAACGCAGCCACTTCCGATGACATTGATGCAGCCGGGATTCACGAGACCGCTCGGGAGGATATGGAAGTCGTACGTGACGCCGTTCGCGACAATGGTGTGTCCGGCGTTGTTACCACCCTGGGCGCGGGCGCAGATTTGCGACTCATGGGCCAGGATATCGGCCAATTTTCCTTTTCCTTCATCTCCCCACTGTGCTCCGAGCACCACAGTAGTCGACATCGTGAAGGCGGGAGACAAGAAGGAAAGAGCGGAGGGGCGGCAGGTGGGTTTTCAATTCCGCGTTGACTCGATCTAACAAATTCGTGCCCCACCCATCACCCCGCGATGCCGCAATTTTCCGCACGAGCCACCAGTGACGCATGTGAATGAGCCGCAACCATGTGTCTGGGCTGATCTGCAATCTTCGCAATCACAGCCTCTACATTGCTGTACAGCTACGTCGTTATCGTGGTAAACGCGTCAAGAAATTAAGAAATCTCATTTTTTCAATATCTACAAACACTCCCAGTGGAAATTTAGTCACATCCAGACCTATCCTCCTAACCGCGCCAAACACCCGGACCCGGCGGCTGATATGTCTCTGGCGCCGATGTGTACTTGTTCAGGTCGACAAGAATTCCCGGATCATTACTTCTGCGGCCTCATGTTAGCATGTTCTTGGTGCTCATCAGTTTGACTTACTTGTAAGCACCCGGGAACGCAACTAGCGGGCTCGGCAGCCCAGCTCCTCCCCCTGTTATCTTGATCTGCGAGCAAGCCAGGTAGAACTGCGCTTTGTTCGCTTGCATAGCCATGTGCAGTGCGATGTGCTCAACGCGGAGCAAGTAATCACCCGATGGCGTGGCAGCAGGGATTGTTGTGTTGGGTGTGAGATACTCGTCTGCGAAACGTCATTAGTACACGCGAAGTGAAGAGAAGGAACAGCTCACTCTGTCCTGGCCAGCTCATCTGTTTCTGCGCGTTTACGGTCGGCATCGTGGTACTAATCTTGAACCACACTGCACCACTTCCATCCCAGCTCTTCACATCCTTGCCATCGGGAACTTTGGCGAGGTAGTATTGCGTTGGTCCCGGGTGATTGACTTGTTGCGTGGATATGTAGTGAATAGTTGATCCGGCCGGTACGCTTGCGACGTTTGGCGCGGTTTTGGAGGTGTAGCAGCGAATGTCCGCGACAGTGGGGTTCTGGCCAAAGTAAGTATCATAGACACATCATGGGCCAGTGGTAATTCGAAGAGTATCTTACCTCGATGCCTTGCTTGGTGTTCGCATTCTTGGTCTCGCGGGTCGAGGCCCAGTCTTTATCTTCTGACTTTCCATCTACGACAAGACGTGGGAATGTGTCTGTTGGCATGAGACTCATATCACTGGAAATCATTTGTTGCTAACTCACAATGTGCCTTGACCACCGTAGCGGCTACCAGAAGTGTGATAAGCATCTGCATGATGAGGGGTCAGATTCTTGCGCCTGAGAAGTATTCACCTCTCGCTTGACGTCTTATGTATGCTTCATGACCCCGGTTCCAGAACAGACATGTGAGCTGAGTTGCGAACTATCGGTAAATTAGCTTGGCGGTTTGGCATACACCGAAGTAGTCTACTGCAGACCATACACACATCACAATATACCATCATCGACAAAAGAACCAATAGGCATCAATATGTTTATGAATCATGTGCAACGGTCCAGCATCTGCCGAAACAAAGCAGGCCAATGCCCAGACCGCATGTTGCCAATAGCTCACCAGATCAGTAGCATAGTTCACCATCACAACAAGCATATGAAGAATTTGGAGGCCCATGCATTACTGGGCAAGTTGAAAGGGAAAAGTTGAATTCCCAAATGCCCTACGCTAACATCGAGCAAAGTAAAAACGAACGAAGTGTTGAGGTCGTATCGAATCGTAAACACACACGTCTAGTGCATGTAGCGGAACTCAGGGTGTCTGTATCCGAGATCCTTGATCTGAGCAGCGGTCTTGCCGACCAAGCGGTGGTCTCGCTTGCCCATATCACGCTGCTTGTTCTCCCACTTGCAGTAGCAGATACCGAATATGGCGAGAATACAGACGCAACACTGACCAACCAAGTTGATGGTGTGGCCGATTGGGTATCGTGGCGCGTCAGCACTTGTGTAGGTCCTGTAACGTATTAACCTAGGATCTGATTCGATTCTTCACATAATCTGACGTACCAAGTCGCGAGGATACCTCCAGCGGTACCCAGTGTGACAACGTAAGCAGTCGAGACGGAGCGGATAGCAGGGCCGGCCGCATTGTTCGCCGCCCACGCAAGGAAACCAGGACCTCCGGGAAATGCACCAATGGTGATCAAGAAGATACCGCCGTATCGGACGTTAGGGTCGGTCGCCCATCGCATGATCGAGAAGCCCGCAATAGCGGGGAGCGTAAAGACAGCGAGGTAGACACCACGGCGGTTCGTCTTGTCTGATGCGAAAGCTATTGCGATAGCGATCAAGCAAGCACATACATAGGGTGGTACTGAGTAGAGTTGTGCCTTGGTGGCCGTCCATCCGAGATCCCTGAGGATAGTGGGCTAGTAATGTATGTTAGTAAACCATAAGTTATGGGGAGGATATCAGCTTACCATGAACAGTGAGATACCCTGTACAGTGATGTTGATGAAGAAGAAACCAAAGGCACAGAAGTAGTTTGTGATGTTCATCACGGCCCGCTTGACGTGGTGTACTTCAGTCTTTTCGTTCTCATCAGCTCCTCCTTTCAGCACCAGTCTCTGTGTGGCAATCATTCGTTCGCGCTCGTTCAAGAACCAGCATTCTTCTGGGCTACGAGGCATTAGAAAGGGAGCAGCAAGGCCAACAATGACGGTAAAAAGTCCCTCGAAGAAGAAAATGTTACGCCAGGTATGGAGAATCATAGTCGAAGCTCCCCATGGTGGAATACGAGCGAGACTGTACTGTAGTCAGTCTTTCATGTAATCTCAAGAATGTGACAGGACCTACGCAGTAGCGAGCAGTCCACCAAAAGCTCCAGCCATTGAGGCCGCGGATACGTAGATACCAATGCGGAACAAAAGTTCGTTGCGCTTGTAGAAACATGTGATGAAGAATGCCAATCCCCTACATACTGATGGTTAGTATGCACTCCAAACAACGATAGAAGGTACTTACGGCATCACACCACCTTCAAACACACCTAAGAAGGCCCTTGCAACCAACAGCCCTGCGAAGCTGCTCACAAAGGCGCTGCATAGTGAGACGAAACCAAAGCCACAGACGAGAAGTGGCAAGTAGTATTTCGGGCCAAGTCTCTTGAGAAGGATGTTGCTCGGTACTTCGACGAACATGTAGACAATGTAGAAGATCGAGGTAACCCAGTTGAAACGGACACCTGTGTTGAGACCCAATTCCTCTCCCATACCCTGGATACGCGCGTTTCCAACATTAACACTTTCAAGGTGGTTAGCGAACAGTTTTGCGCAGAGTGAAATGATACGTACCGATCGAGGAAACAGAGCAGGTAAAGAAAGGTCGTAAGTGGCACAATCACGCGGTCCAGTTTACGTCGAACCTTCTTCTCTTCCTCAGCTGTCCAGGTAAACTCGCCGTCTGTAGATCGGTCGCTTCCATTGGCCTCCTCAACTAGCAAATCTGTTAGCACATGTTCGCGACAAGATTAGTAAACAACGTACAAAGCACATTGTCTCCCTTCTCCAGCTCAGCAGGGGTTGGGTGGTTTGGGTGTGTCCCCGTCGATACCATCCCGATTTGTGCCATCTTGTCCAAATAGGATGCCGAATTCGAGATCTAAAGGATGCGAAGCGAAATCTCTTCGTTGTGTCGTGGCCCCACAAGTTCCGAAAGTCTGGGGAAAGGAATCTGGGGAAGAGCACAGCCCATATAAGAACGTACGATGCGTCCCGGTATCCGAACAAGCTTACTCGTCGCACGTCTGTGTCTTGGGTCGCAAGTCGAAAGCCAGGAAGAGGGAATCGGCAGTTACTTCGCAGCCTTCAGAGGATGGCAATACGGCACCATGTTTAGCTTGATGTCCGCTCCACCGCGCGCTCTTGTCCCGTTCCAGCTGGCGGCTTGATTGAACAGGGAGCGAAGTCGGTGCGGAAATTTTACCGAGTCGACACAGAACCCTACATAACGCCGCATAATTATCAACGGCCTCCTCCTTGGTTGGCGTGTTGCGGGGCCGTTCTCTTGGCTGACATGGGTTGACTCGTGGAGCCCGCGAGGGTGACGGGCGGATGCTTTCATTGTGGTCATTTTGAAACGCCACGCTTGGCGAAGCGGGACGAGAACTTTCGTGTTGCTAGCAGCTCGCGATGCGTTTCGGCAGTTCTGTTCATCTTCTCAGTGCTTCCTGATGGTGTTAACAAACTGTAGTTATGGAGTTCTTCTCCTCATAGATTGAACTGGGGTAGGGCGGATGATTGCGGTCAGATTACGGGCGTAATGTGACAGAAGATTTATCCACCGTGGACGAGTTTTGCTGCCGCACCAACAATGTGGGTGATTGACTGCTGCATATCAGCGCGGCAGGATTGCATACGGTCTACAGTATTCCAGACAAGTGGGTATCCTTGCCGCCGAGGTCTAAAGTGATGCAACTGGCAGCCTTCACAGATCATGATGTACCTTTGCTGCTCATGCAAACAATAACATCCCCGCAATTTAGCCGGAATCCTTCGTCGTCCGGTGGGTTTTCTTGGTTTCTCTGTGCCTTTCCGAGCAACAAAATGCAAGAAATCCACCGACGCGTACTCGCATACTCGCAAGTAGAGCCCCTAAGCTTCTCAGCGAGTAGAGTGTGTGATAGGGTCCATCAAAGTGGGCGGGTCTCGTAGCTGGACTGTTCCGCTCGGTCTAGCCGTATAGTGGCTGCAGGTTTATGGCTCGCACAAACGCAGAATGCAAAAGCTTCGGGAAGTCGAAAGACGCGACTCGGTGGCCGAAGATGGCTGTCAGTGCTGCGAAGTAGGACGGGCGCCGGCGTCGGGGAACAGGACGCTCTTGCCAAGCTGTCGCGCCACGTGGCTGAGATACTGAGCTTCACAACATTGCGAGTTCCATAAATACCTACTGACCTACGGAAGATCAAATAATTTCAATTCGACAAGGATTCACAATTGCAGTATTCAAAGCGCCGATCATCTCCAGAGCCTCGTCCTGGGAGCTTCAACTTCTCGAGGCGCCGTGTCAACGACCCACGACTCCACAAATCATCGTGTTAAGGGCCACTTCCCCTCACAAATACATGAACCTCCACAGTCGCACACGGGAACGGATGTCCCTTCTCGGCAACGCTACCTTTGGCGTCTCGCCTTCGTCTCCACCAACTCCTTCATCACGTCTCTAATCTTATTAGGTCTTACCGGCGCGTCATCCAGATCCACATTGGAAGCTGATGATGCTATAGATGCGTGGGCTTTGGCGGCTTGGGTGGCTTCTCCGGCTTTCCCTTCGGTAGCTGATCGAACGCGGCAGTCGTTTTAAGGGCGGGTTTGTTCCCGCGATCATCCTCGGTTTCGGCTATTCGATCATGTGACCACTCTTGGACATCGCCTCCAGCAACTTAGACTCCAAGAAGATCAGCTTCGTGGTGATCGAATACAGGTCGAGAGTCTTGCGCACCGTTATTAGAGAGAGCTGTTTGCAACTCTTCTCGAAGCTCCAAGATTGCGATTTCCAATGCCATATTCTGGTCATCCATTTGTCGGACGAACTCAGCTTGCTCTACCGCCAAGATGTCAAGCTGAGTATCTACTTCTTCAGCATGGCGCTGACCATCTGACAGTAGCTTTTCCAGAGTTGCTTTAACCTCATCTTCAACCAAATCCAGGCTATCTGCAAGCTCATCTCTCTCTTCTTCAAGCGCGTCCAACCGTTCCCTCAACTCATGCACTGTGTCTGTTTCAGCAGCGTGAGATCTAGTTAATCGCGCGAACGCTTCATCGCGATTAGCTTCTTCTTGCTCTAGACATTCTCCGCAGTTTTCGTCCCTGTCTTTCTCGAGCTTTCTCCAAACAGATCGGTGATTGGCAGCTTCTGCGGTTTTGGCAGTGGCACAAGACCATGTCGTTAGATCTAGATGCCCGCAGGCGAATGTTGTCTCGAGATCGACGTGAACACAGATATCTGCTGTTGCTACCTTTAAGTCCTGTTCACGCTCAGCTTTCCGTTGCTGAAGCATCTTAGCAGACACGGTCCCGGCATCTCGTGCCTTCTGTTTCTCTTCGTTACGTTCGCGACGGAGGCGATTTATGAGTTCCGTTACACAGGGTCTGCATTCGTACTGCCTTGTCCTAGTATGGTCTGCAGTCTTTTTACAACTCCTCTCCCCACAGGGGAGGTTGATCTTGCTCTCGTGGCCACAGTCGTACGTAATTACGAGATTGGTACACATGACGGAAAATATGATTTTTGGGTAGCGGTATCCGGCGATCTCAGTCTGCGATTAAGATATGGGTGATAGACACGACTCTCGTATAGATTCTGAGCATCTACGCTACAACCTTGGAATGATCAACAACGTATCACTCAGAGAGTCTTCAACAGCTTCAACCTTGCCATGTGAACCAAATCGTCACATTGGTACATGCTTCACAAATGCAACTAATTACAAAACCATTACATTCGGCACACGGTTTCTGTTTTCCACAGAAAACGCCGTCCACTACCTGCATCCTGTCATCGCCAAACACCCAATCTACTTGTCTGCTCTCATTTATCACGCTAGCCCAGGATGTGCACAACATATCGCGTTTACTTCTACTGCGGACACCTAAAGTCCACGACCACTCACGAGCACTCTGGCATCGAGTGCACAATCAACAAGGCGAAGAGTATCACAATCGACGAAAAGTGCAAGCGCTGCGTCCAACGAACATCTCGAAAGAACGTCCGACTCGGCGATATCATGAACGGTGCAGAAGTACCGTCGATAGTAAAAGGCGAGGAGAGTGGCGCCCATAGTGGCGACAGCGAGCGATGATGGGAGGTGAAGAAGACTGGGTGTTTTCAATAGTTAACTTCACTATCATCGAACCGTCATGAACAACCCAGAGAGCAAGAAAACACATATGTCGGGTTCTGGATTGGAATCAGACTAGATACGCATACGATGAGGTAGCCCTCTATGCGGTGGTCTAGGCTCACAGGTTCATTATGGAAGTCGTAGCATCGCTGAAATACGACGTACTCAAATCTCGCGTTGCGTCCGATGCATGCAAACGTAATGACCTGGTGAAGCGCTTTTACGTTCATGGGAGTAGCCTATTGTCCAAATCGTAGTCACACAAGCCCAGCGTGCAGTTCTCCATGGTCTCTTCAGCTCATTCCAAGCATCACAGCACCCTATATGGCAGACATCACTGTACCTGCCAGTCAAATTTACGCCACCTACCGCTCCCTTGGAAGATATCTGGAGAATCCCAACACCAGGCTGTGAGAAGAATGTCTAGACCTATCGCCTGATAGATTGCACGCGGCATTACTCGTGCCCGGCGAAGGCTCCATAGACAGCACCCCTCTTCTGGTGCTAGCCTTGTCGACGATGGACATAGAGCTCGCGCAATAACGCACCTTATCATCATAAGTGCTGCGACCAATATTTCGACTTGTGACTATCCGTTGTTCGAGGGCTCGACGAGATCGCGGCCACTAACTGGCGATGGGTTGTCGGCACCCGAGGCGTGGACTTGAGATCGGCCTCTGCGCGAGGTGCTGGAGCGATTCCTGTATGCGAGATATGTGCGACGAGGGCGCTATGCGTGACATAGTCTTCGGCGAAGTCTGATGAGTGGTGTCGATGCGAAGAGAACGGGGCGGAGAGGAAGCTGTTGGACGCGTTCAGAACAGCTGACCCGAAGACGCGGTTGAATGAACACGGTCGGGGGAGCATGTGAACATATGGCATATCTGCTCCATGTCTTCAGACGTGTCGTAAGCTACATAAGCGTAGACGACCTGCGGGTTGTGTAGGAAGCCTCGCAAGCTCCAAAGGTTGGTTTCCCAGCCGCGTTCCGATGCGCGGGTGTTGCCGGCTATAATCGATAAGTTCCGACGGAGATTCCGATCAACTCACCACGCCACCTCCACAAACGCTTGACTTCGAGACTTCACACCCCAGATCACATTCCACTCAAATCACGACGCGTCTTACTTGATAACCAACATGGCCAAAGTCGAAGGTGCCCCTGCTCATGGCGCTGTAGCCCACCTCCTACCACAAACATACAAGCGATTAGTCTCGGAATGGCTTGAAGAGGACACACCAAGTTTCGATTATGGTGGTTTCGTAGTGGGCGAGGAGCTTTCGGAAGCGAAGCTGCTCGGAAAGAGTGAAGTGAGTGTTTTCGACTACTGTAAGTGCCGACTAACATTGACAGGGCATAGTAGCAGGCGTCCCGTTCTTCGATGAAGTGTTCCGACAACTAGGTTGCACGTGCGTTCATCTCACCAGATTACATGATCAAGCTCAATATTGACAACTACTAGCGTGGAGTGGCACGTCAAAGAAGGTGCTTCATTCCAACCCATCACCCACTGCGCTACTGTGCGCGGCCCAGTCCGTCACCTCCTTCTCGGCGAGCGCGTGGCTCTCAACACCCTCGCCCGCTGCTCCGGCATCGCGACCAAGTCAAATCGCCTACTTACTCTTTTACGAGGAGCTGGTTACCCAAACATTCTTGCTGGTACCAGGAAGACTACACCAGGTTTTCGACTTGTAGAGAAGTACGGCATGCTGGTTGGAGGCGTGGACG